GTAATGATAATAACGACGATGATTATGATGATGATGATGATGATGATGATGATGATGATGATGATGATGATGATGATGATGATGATGATAATGATTCATAAGCCCCTTTTATTTATTTTATTTTTTGTTTTTGTGTTACACAATTTCTAAAGTTAATATCCCTACAAACTTTTATTGTTTTCTACTTTGCTGCAATGACTGTTGGTGGTGATAAGAAAGGTTACTCGGATGAGTTGAAGTAGGATGGGAAATGAAGAAAAGGAGGGTGGGAAGAGGGGAGAAGGAGGGAAAGGAAGAAGGTTAGAAGGATAAAAAAAGAAGTCGCAGGGGTGGAGCAAAAGGAGAGACGTGGGGAGAAGAAGAAAAAAAGGAGGAGGTGGAAGAAGAGGAGGAGGTGGAAGAGGAGGAGGTGGAGGAGGAAGAGGAGGAGGTGGAGGAGGTGGAGGAGGTGGAGGAGGAAGAGGAGGAGGTGGAGGAGGAAGAGGGGGAAGAGGAGGAAGAGGGGTAGAGGGGGAAGAGGAGGTGAGAGTGAAGAGAAGGAGGAGGTGGAGGAGAAGGAAGAGGAGGAAGAGGAGGAGGAGTAAGTTCAAATTAATAACAATAATGAGGCACTCCGTACATACCTGCAAATACCTCTGCTCTACCAAATATTTATGGGCCCAGCGCCATTGTGGTGTGACTGCAGGTCGCCTCAGAGGTGAAGGGTCGAAAGGTCGCATTGACCTTGCAGGCGGGATGTCTGCCTTCAGTAAGGACATTCTACTTTTTTAACAACTTTCTTCTAGTTTTGACTCTTTTTTTGGACTCCTATCTAATTTATTCTTTTGGATTGCTTTCCCCCCTGTCTTTGGGGGGGGGGGGGGGGTTGTTTTTTTTCCAAGATTTTTGTTTTGTATTCTAGTTAAAATTGCACCACCGTCTTGTGCCTAATTTAGCCAGTGCATCTGTCTTCGGTTTAAATTTTTGATGTAAATATTTTAGCAGGATTACTAATCATTTTAGTTGTCAGTTGTTTTTTATTTTTTGTCGTTGCTGTTGGTCTTTTTGTGATAATTATAGTGTGATGACATTTTAATGTTTTGCTTGCGCAATCGATTATTCGTTCTTGAGGATTGTACTGTTTCTTTTTCCAGATGTTCTTGTATCTCTGGTGTTATTCAACGATATCCTGGATAAAACTGTTCTTGGACTTCAGAAACTCGAAACTTTTGAGGGTTTTTAATCTTCTCAACAGCCGTCTCTTTGGCAAGTTTTTCTCTTCACTTCAAAAAATGTTCATGTCATGTTTCCTCATTTTCCTTGATGTTATTTACGTAGACAAGGAAGTTATTTTTATAACCATGAAGACGTTCGATGTGATAAGAATAATTCTCTCTCTCTCTCTCTGTCTTTGCCTGACTTGGACTTTAAAGCGCCGCTGAAAGAAAAAAGAAAATTGATAAGTTTAAAAATCTTCATACTGACGATTTGGACATAATCGGTCAACTCGTTTTGGTTGTGTAAAATAGTCATAAATAGGTATGAGTCACTCATTAACTTTCTCTCTGTCTCCTGCCTGTCCGTCTATCTGATTGTCTGTCTACCTGTGTGTGTAGTATGTCTCTCCATCCTCTCCTCTCTCTCTCTCTCTCTCTCTCTCTCTCTCTCTCTCTCTCTCTCTCTCCCTCTCTCTCCCTCTCCCTCTCTCTC